CCGGACAGCCGCTCACCGGCACCCCGCACCCCACCACACCCGGACAGCCGCTCACCGGCACCCCGCACCCCACCACACCCGGACAGCCGCTCACCCGCACCCCGCACCCCACCACACCCGGACAGCCGCTCACCCGCACCCCACCGCACCCGGACAGCCGCTCACACACAACACACCGCACCCTGACAGCCGCTCACCCGCACCCCACCGCTCCCTGACAGCCGCTCACCCGCACCCCACCGCACCCTGACAGCTGCTCACCCGCACCCCGCACCCCACTGCACCCTGACAGCCGCTCACCCGCACCGCACCACACCCTGACAGCCGCTCACCCGCACCCCACCGCACCCTGACAGCCGCTCACCCGCACCGCACCACACCCTGACAGCCGCTCACACACAACTCACCGCACCCTGACAGCCGCTCACCCGCACCCCACCGCACCCTGACAGCCGCTCACCCGCACCCCACCGCACCCTGACAGCTGCTCACCTGCACCCCACCGCACCCGGACAGCCGCTCACACACAACACACCGGACAGCCGCTCACCCGCACCCCGCACCCCACCGCACCCTGACAGCCGCTCACCCGCACCCCAGCACCCTGACAGCCGCTCACCCGCACCCCAGCACCCTGACAGCCGCTCACCCGCACCCCAGCACCCTGACAGCCACTCACCCGCCCCACGCGCCCATCTCCTCTCACTTGGCCTCCTCCTGCGCTGTGCCCCCTGCCCGGGGGGGAGGGCGGAGGGAAGGCCTGCGCGCGTTCTGGTGGGTGCCTTGACGCGCCTCTAAGCCCAAAAGTGGGAAGGAAGGTGGGCACACCCCAGAACCACGGAGCTCTGCCTGGGCCCGCGGGGCTTTGAGGACTCTCCTGGACACGCCCCAGGCCAGGAGGAGATTTCTAGGGACCCACCGGAGCCCCAGCAGCAGCCCCAGTCCCCAGAAGGAAATGCCCTCAGCACAGCTGCCATTTGTAGCCAGCCTGGCACACGGGTGCCCGGTGGTGGACGGGCTGAACTCTCTTCTGGACACCTATTCTCCCCCCATGACTCCAGCCATGGTATGTTGGTCATACCGTGCATCCTCCATCTGCCAGGTTGTCTTGGTGTGTCCTGGCTCCTGGCCAGGCTTCAGGTACACAGAGCCTGAAGACCATCAGGTGTTGCTTAGGCTTCCAACACCTTCCCTGTGTGGGTGCTGCTGATGACACATGACAGCACATCCGTGTCACACTCACACCTGTGTATTGACAAACACCAGCAACGGCACGGAGATGGGACCATTGGGAAAGCCACAGGACTGCCACTCACCTCCACAGACTGGGCTCTGCCCAGCCTGGGCCCTCACAGGGCCACCCACATAGTCTTATCACTAGTGGATTTGTGGTGACATTTTCAAAGTGTGGGCCTGTTTGCTTCTGACTGTCCTACAGACCACATGCTCCAGGTGATCATGTGGGGCAGCAGCTGCAGGCTGCTCGCCCGGGCGGCAACCACATGAAGTTTGACCCTTTGGAGGCACAGTTGGAGTCAGCCAGGGCACACCATGGTCAAGGTCTCTTGTTCCTTGTGGGGTAAATAAGCCAGGTGTGGGGTAATTCTTTGAGACTGCAAATAGCATGTTTTTCCTATAACCATTTACCCAACAATTTTGGCATCAAATCATGAACGGGTTCATTATTCCTCCTACCTTACCCCACAGGCTGGAAATGGAGCCCAGGGCCTCCAGATTGCTGGATAAGCTATCAGTGAGGCCCAGACTGGCCTCAAATTTATTTTTTTCTGGTACTAGAGACTGTTTGCTTGCTTGCTTTTGTTGCGTGTGTATGAGGGTTTTTTGTTTTTGTTTTTGTTTTTTTGGCAGCCCTGGGGCTTGAACTCAGCCTGGACACTGTCCCTGAGCTGATTCTGCTCAAGCCTAGCACTCTACCAATTGAGCCACTGCGCCACTTTTCCTGTGTATGTGTTACTGAGGAATCAAATCATCCATGCTAGGCAAGCACGGTACCTCTAAGTCACATTCCTAGTCCCCCTACTAGAGTTTAACACAAGGACTCTCTACTGTTCATTTGGCTAGAGCCCTACCACTTGCCATGCCTTGAGCTAGCTATTTTTAGCTTTTTCTTTCTTTTTTTTTTTTGTCAGTCCTGGGGCTTGAACTCTGGGCTTGGGCGCTGTCCCTCGGCTCCTCAGCTCAAGGCAAGTGCTCTACCACTTGAACCACAGCGCCACTTCCAGTTTTCTGGTGGTTCATTGGAGATAGGAGTCACAAGCCAGGCACTGGGGGCTCAAGCCTGTAATCCTAGCTACTCAGGAGGCTAAAATCTGAGGATCTCGGTTCAAAGCCAGCCCGGGCAGGAGAGACTGTGCTCTCCTTGAGCTGAAGAGCCTGAGGGACAGCGCCCAGGCCCAGAGTTCAAGCCCCATGGCCGACAAAAAAAAAAAAGAATCTCACAGACTTTCCTGCCTGAGCAGGCTTTGAACCTCAATCCTCAGATTTCAGCCTCCTGAGTAGCTAAGATTACAGGCATGAGCCACCATCTCTGAACTTTTTCACTCAAGGCTAGCTTTCCAGTACTTTGAGCCACAGTATCACTTTAATTTTCTGGTGGTTAACTGGCAATAAGTCTCAAGATAGCCGGGCACCCGTGGCTCACGCCTGTAATCCTCACTACTCAGGAAGCTGAGATCTGAGGATCACGGTTCAGTTCATAGCCAGCCCAGGCAGGAAAATCCATGAGACTCTTATCTCCAGTAAACCACTTGAAAACCTGCAGTGTCGCTGTGGCCCAAGCAGTTGAGTGCTCGCCTTGAGCTGAAGAGCGCAGGGACAGCGCCCAAACCCAGAGTTCAAGCCCCAGACCAACCAAAAAAAAGTCTCAAGGACTTTCCTGCCTGAACCTCAACCTGCAGATCTCAGCCTCTTGAGTAGCTAGGATTACAGAGATGAACCACTGGTGCCCAAGCTTTCAACCAGCTTTTTTGTTGTTGTTCAGAGACTGAGCTTCAAACTTGGTACCTGATGCTTTCACTGATTGGCTAGTGCTCTACCAACTGAGCCACACTGCTCTAACCCCTACAACCCATCTTTGGATTTTAGAGACAATCAGACTTTTCTTCTCAGGGTAGCTTTGAACCTTAGCTCTCTGGTTCTCAGCCTCCTGAATACGTATTGTTTTTTTGTTTGTTTTTGTCAGTCGTGGGGCCTGAACTCTGGGCCTGGGCACTGTCCCTCAGCTCTTCAACTCAAGGCTAGCACTCTACCACTTGAGCCACAGTACCACTTCCAGCTTTTTTTTCCTGCTTATGTGGTGCTGAGGAATGGAACCCAGGGCCTCATGGATGCAAGGCAAGTCCTCTACCACTGAGCCACCTTCCCAGCCCCTGAATACACTTATAGGCATGACCCAGCAGCACAGCATGGGGCTGAGCCCAAAATTTTTTTTTTTTCCCCAGTCCTGGGCTTAAACTCAGGGCCTAGGCGCTGTCCCTGAGCTGCTTTTGCTCAAGGCTAGTGCTCAACCACTTGAGCTACAGCACCACTTCTGGCCTTTTCTTTTTTTTTTTTTTGTCGGTCATGGGGCTTGAACTCTGGGCCTGGGCGCTGTCCCTCAGCTCTTCAGCTCAAGGCGAGCGCTCTACCACTTGAGCTACAGCGCCACTTCCGGTTTTCTGGTGGTTTATTGGAGATAGGAGTCTCACAGTCTCTCCTGCCCGGGCTGGCTTTGAACCGCGATCCTCAGATCTCAGCCTCCTGAGTAGCTAGGATTACAGGCGTGAGCCACCAGCGCCCGGCTAACTTCTGGCCTTTTCTGTGTATGTGG